TATAAACGAATTTATAACTGGATTTCCACAATATTTTAATATATTCTTAAGGTGAATTTCCACTGGCGTGTCACCTGCATCTCGTAAATTTACGTGCAGTTCCTTTAGCGTTGAGGATGTGCCGCGGCGTCGATGATTACTTCGTTCTTCTCTTATAAATAGATTGCTATTCTTCTCATTGTCTGTTAGAATAACAGAGATGACAATATGTTCATGTTTTATACAGGTGCAATATTAGTTGAAATTCAAACTGTATACGATACAATTTGAAGTAAATTTTTATATTCAAAGCACCCACTGTATCGCAGCCACAATACGAGTACAAAAGGAGGTCCCTAAGCGCAATACGATGAACATTTACTCGCCATATGCACTTCTGGGCTTAGCAAACTCCCTCGGGTAACCCCCAGGCTAATGAAACCATAGAATATTTAGAACAATTTTGTTTTTGGATTTAGTAATTTGTAAATATATTAAAAGACTATATCTCACGGTATGTCGATAACATATAATAGTTTTATACATATTTTTTTCTTCAAAAGAAATTAGTAATACGCATATATGGTCTAAGTAAGAAGGGATAACATACTTTTTATATATTCAGTATTTACATAAGCTGTAGAAGTAGATACTAATATTGCTGTAAACTGTAAAAAATACAAACCTTGTCTTTTGAATATTAAGGACTATCGGATTACTTCTTCAATTTACCAAAAAAATTGAGATTTTTCCTGATTGTCGATTGTTAACAAAATACGATCATACGATCATCCTTATGGTTAAAAAAGCCGCATTTACCCCTAAGCTAGCGACGACCGCTTCAGAGGCCATATGTCGCGAAAAATTCCAACATAATTGCATTATACAACCCCAAGTTGAGTGCGCCCGCTTTTAATTACGACTATCCACTTAGACATATGTGGCGCGGCTTCCATTGGGGCTGCGAGTCTACATTCTTTCTCTCTTATAACAACGTACATATTAAATTTCTTGCAACATAAGTCAGAACTGAATTCTGGTTATTCGACTTTGAGTCAGCGACATACTTACGCTTAATACTTGACATCTCTAGGTAGAAGTGTTACCTTATACAAACAATGTAAATCATCAACCTGCCCTTGTTCTTACGTTATATCGGCACTGTATGTCGCATACTTCCATACATCTCTATCAGCTATCATGTCTGAATTCACTCCCTTCTTACGCAAATCCTCTTTCACACAATCCATCCAAACTTTCTTCGATCTTTCTCTATCTTTGTAGCCTTGAACATTGAATCTCATAACTTTGTTATTAATATGATCATCATTTCGCCGCATAACAACGACTATAGGAATAAATAAATAAATACAATACAGACAGCAACTAGTGCTTTGAATTGCTATTTTCTAACTGTTTGATTTTTTTCTTTACCACCCTTACACTTGTTATAGAGTTCAGTCGAAACGAATGAGTTATCGATCGGTACATTTAAAAATACAATTCTTTTGAAAATGCATTTAACATGTCACATATGGTAATGGGCACCGCCATGGGGGCGTATTGTCCGCCGCGGCTTTTACACCATATGGTCCCAGATTCATAAACAAGTGCGCACCGAATCCCACTTTAATGTTTCGCGATTATTACTATGCATTGCTTTAACTATATATTATATAGTAATATGAACTCTAAACTCATTGACATAAAAGCTATTCTTTAATTAACCACTATTTAGTTCACCAACTTGTTAGAAACGAATATAGACTTTAAGAGTATCAAAATAAAGTTCAAAGTAGAAAGTTCATCACATTTATTACAAAAATACACAACCAGCAAGTTTTAAATGCATTGAAACTACAATTGAATTGGCAAATGGAACATTGAATCAGTAGAATATGAACCCAAAACCATTGTAATAGAGTTGATTATTGTTTGAAGTTCATTAAAATGCAATTCAAACGATTAACAGGGTGGTTGATCTAAGAGTGAGCCATTGTGAATGATGATTACATTGGAAGCTGGTATTACTGGCATTGTGCTGCACCATATGTTGGTGTTCATATTACCCTCGTATTGCCGGATTTAGCTAAATATATTTTAATTGTTTGTTCGTCTGTACAGGTGTTTGTTGTAGGATTAGGAGTTATTGATGACTTTTCATGTACAATCAATTCAACAACAAACAATTTCATCAAAGCGTCATTCAGATGGGAACAGTAATCGAAGCCGATAGCAATCAAGACGTTAGTCTATCGGGACTCGGAGACAAAGATTAGGTCCGTAACGGTTAATCTGTCTCGCTCAATGTCCCCGGGGGCTCTGCCAATCCAACTTACAGCTGCGACCTGATCGATCATCTGACAGTTTCTATGTTTGATTCACTACTCGTTGTGTTAATTTAATCTGTGATTTTGTTTTGAACTTGTTATAAAATAATGAGAAAATTGTTAAATAATCTTTCAATGTATTCAAGAAAACAAGACGTTCGTTGACAATTGACAACTGTCAACTGCAGCTGCGTTTGACATGAAAATGAGAAGATTTTTAAGCGTCTGTGTGTATTCACTCCATAAGCCTTAAAGTATAAGCCAGTGTGCTCTGTTTAAAGGTTTGTAGATTTATATTTATGAGTAATCATGAAACAAGTAATAAAATCATTAAAAAAAAACAAAAGTCTGATTTGACAGTTTGTATAGTACACGTGAATTAACAGTTTATCTAAAAAGCCACAATAAATAGAACTTAAGGCGATGAAGTCCATGATAAGTAATTGGGGACGCGTGGACTGGATTATTTAGCGCGTGACTCGAATGCAGCGCAGGGGGAGGTGATAACAGCCCCGAGAATATCTTTCAATAAACACTTCTCCCTTGAATTGCTTCAGATTGTTTGTGGTCTCTTTAAATATACGTACTACAGTTATTATATTTTTAGGATATTCAGATAATAATCATTTTTTGTCGCAACTAAATACCCAGAATATTAACTAACAATTGGCTATTGGCCTATTTTGAAAAGTTACTCTAAATTCTGCAACAGGATCGACTATTGTTCATCTGAAATCAATAGCTTAAATAACGATGGAAAACCTTAACCTAATAACATACAATTAATCACAATGTAATTCTAAAACAAGCGATGTCCAAACAAGCTTATTCTGCAAACGTTTTTCTCACATTCAATTATAAAGAAGCAATAGTTGTGTTAAGTGAACAATCGTAGCTGTAGTAAGACAGCAGTCAATCTATCAGCCTGCAGTGTCCACTGCCACGGTACTCCTCCGGGGCCCGAAATCACATGTCACTCTTAACGTCCGCTATATTGATGACCAAGGCGCTGCCAGTCTTCTGGAACTGAGAGAGACATCTACTTAGATGTGACGTATTGTTTTTGTGTTACTAGCTATCGCCTACGACTCCGTCCGCGCGGAATTAATGTACTTTTCTTCACTATGTTCTACATTCATCTCAAATTTCATCGAGATCAAACAATCGCATTTATAATATTAGTAAGACTAATAAGATTATACGAATTGTAGCATTGTAGCGCACACTTTTAATATTATTTACGTTAGCAGTTCATTATGAACAGCATAAAATATGGCGCAACTAAAACTCATTAGCGCCTTACGTAAAAATAAATGTAGCAGATTTTCACGGAGCGCCAGCGAATGGACAAAAAAATGGCTAAAATCTGACAAATAGCTTTCCTTTAACGTCTGCGCCCATCTTATTATCGTTACCCACTACCGAACAGAACTCATTTGGGTCGTTCTTTCACTTCTACATCACTAAGCACAAGATCGAATTCCTACTCTATGTTTTAAAAGTTAAGTTTACTTTTACCTTGGCAACATTAATTGTATTAGCTTTGAGTTTTGTTAATAGAATTTCGGTTTTGGTATCATTATTTTAAGGTTTATTTTAATTTGTTTCGTTATCTAGTAGGATATCAATTTGAGAAGAAGCGTCTGTGTTAATAGCATTATTCGCAATCTCATCCATACACTCGGGGGTTGCGCCGTCTATGGACGAAGTATCATTTTTTTATGCGACATATAAAACATATTTATTGCGATCTTAACGGTTGGAGTTTTTCTAGTGCCTTGTTTGGTGAAGATAAAGATGGAAGAAAGATTAAACTTGGTTGCAACAATTGGATACTTCGCGATTAAGGCAATACTAGACAAACTTTCGCCTTTACTTACTGAGAAATCGTAAACATTGACATTTTATTAGACAAAGTTTTAGGGGTTTTAATGGCTTTGTATTGGTAGTTACAAACATATTTTTAATAGAAAAGAAGAGAAAATTACTTTATATTTCTTGTATTTATTTTTATCTCCATATTTATCTTGCAAAAAAAAATAATAGGTCCTCGAAACAGTACAGCAGAACTTTACAGTTATGTAAAGTTTCATATAAGTTTTCATTCTTTAAACAATTTATTTGACATTTAAAAAAAATATATATTTTAAAAAAATAACTAAACGAGTGTTAAAAAGATTTTCAAACAAAAATCGAGTCGCGCAACAATAACAATTTATCCCAAAAAAATGTTTTAATAGATACCGACAGCCAATAACCTTAGAATTCCTAAAAAATCAACTTATTTTATTCCAACAGTACACATTACGGAGAAATAAGCCGGCACCCGTTACTCACATCATACTGTCTTTGTCGATCTGACCCTACTACTCAATGCGCTCTCAATTCGCGCCAGTTATCTTGACCCGCTAATTGAGCTTCACTTGCCGTTGCCGCGGCCGGCGGCCATTGGTCTGTACAATCCTTCCCCGCCCCCCTGCTCGCTCTCCATTGGCCCGTTACCACGCCTACGCGACTTAAAAGGCCCCGCTAAGGGTAGTTCTTAACCCCACTTATATATTTTCCACCCTTATGTTGCGCTCGCATTCGTAAAGTTACCGACGGGTAGTACGCACGCGTCTTGCCACCTCTCAACTCCGATACAAGTGTCAAAAGTTTGAGTTCGTGTAAGTTTCTTTAAATGAAAAAACAATGACAATGGACGTTCAAAATAATTTTCAAAATTATAAAGAGCCGTCCCCGGACGCCAAGGAGACTAATTTTAATGTCGAAAGTGCGCGATCGACGCAAATATCGAAGAGCGAAATGCAAACTACTGTACTGAACCAGAACAAAACTTCGAAACGATCTTTTGACGTCGCTTTCCTCATGATGCCGGATGACAAAGTTAGACAGAAGCAGCCGGAGCGGCAACTGAGAGTTTCCAAGCAGTTGTTCAGCACAGAAGAGTGGGAACAGCCGGCTAAAAGAGCAACGGAAGTATACAAACACCACGATCTGTCCATCGACGTACTTGACGATAAGGAGCAGGACGAAGACCGGGTACGGATTAATAATAATATTTCACCTGGCTTCGGATCAGATATTAACATAGACGTCGGAACAGATGAATATCCAAGTAAATCCACATATTTTAGCGATTCTGATACCTCTGAACGATCTAGAAGCCGCCCAAATTCCAACGAAAGTGCAGCCAGGCCAAAATTTTTACCCGAATATAAAAGTAAAATATTCGATGATCCGACATTGATAAGCATGCAAACAAGAGCGAGATACGATAACAGGTTCGGCGAAAAATCTCAAGACATGTCACCTAAAAGCGCCTTCACTAAAGTGTCGAACTTCACAGTCCGATCACCGAATCCCTCAGTAAGTCCTGACAACCTTCATTATCAGAACTCCATTAGCCCGCCACTGTCGGCTTCGAGTCCTCCCGCTAACGCCTTCAATAAAGCAAATGCTTTCACCAATTTAATTAGCCCCGCACACCTCTTAAACGGTAACAGTTTCTTCAAAGGCCATAATGTGCCATCTTCTTCCCCTAACTATCCAGAATCGAGCATGTTGCCCCAAAGAACGCAGAACTTTAAAGGCATGGAATACCAAGGAAAGCAACCAGAACCTAAAACATCGCAAATATCACCCAACAAAATGAACTTTTTGCCATTTAGACCAGAGATACCGTACTTACAGGCAGGATCGTCGTACCCTTTCGGTGTACAAAATTTCCAACAACCGAACGCCGACTTTATGAAGTTCCCAGTCTCGCCACGGGAGTCCGTCAGTCCACTGATAGCGAATCCCGCAGCAGCTATACTAAGCACTCTGTTGCCACCGACGTTAGCTGCGTTCTCTTTGCCGGCACAGAACGTGTGCGCTAAATGTAGCATCAGCTTTCGAATGACTTCCGACCTGGTGTACCACATGAGGACTCACCACAAAAGTGAAACAACCAGTGACCCCAATAGGAGGAAACGAGAAGAGAAGCTGAAATGTCCCGTGTGCAACGAGAGCTTCAGGGAGAGACACCACCTGACGCGGCACATGACAGCGCACCAGGACAAAGAAGGGGACATGGATGACGTATCCCCAGCGAACTATAATAAAAAAGCCAAACAGTTTTATCCTCACAACGGTTCCGTTCTTAAGTGAATTGCTTTGTAGATGTTTGACGTTTACTTCGAAAAAGATGTTCTTACTCAGAAATTATATGTTATAGTAAACCTTTTAGAACCATGTCACATAAAACATGTTAAACATTTTAATGGGTTCACCTCGTTGTTGTTATTTAATTGTATTCCATTGTGCAATATTAGTTATAAGTATTTATTTTGTAAATATTTATTTGATAGGCCATTAAATAAGTTATGTAAAATAAAAAATATGTGTTTTTCATCCCTCATCCAACTGGAGATGTAACGAAATGAATAATAAAATCACTTTTTAAAATAAACACCTTTTGTTTTCTTCTTGTCTTTTTAAAAAAACAATTTTGTTTATTATGACGCCTGCAGGAAACAGTTCGAAATGTTAACTCTTGAGCACATAGCGAGCCCTCTATAAGCTTATTGTTTACCACGTTCTAAATAAAATTAATTTATAAGTATCTTTGATTTTCTCTCTTTACTTATCTCATCCATTATTGTTACATCCCAGCAACTAACACGGCATAGCAAAACTAATTCAAATGGGGGAAGTCGATAAAGCTATCAAGATTTTCTCTCCCGCATCGGTCACAAAGCGTGTTAATGTTCCACAATTTATTTCATAATGTGTAAGTTTATTCGTCCATTAATTACTAGGTCAGTTCGAAATTGATCTGTACGAGTTAAATTAAATAGAGATTTTTTCTAAAACGACGACTTTTGTCGAAATCCGACATTCTAAACTTTGTTTTATAAATTATAAGAAGAAGATTCATTCATTTGGTTAAAGTAACTTACAAAAATATATTGACATAATCAGTACGTACTGATGTACATCAGAATTGATATTTTTATATATTACGCTATTTAAAACTTTTCTGACCAAGAAATTTGTGTTTAAGGACCCACAAACTATTCGGTTACCATTACTTTACTGACTATAATTTATTTATTTATATTCAATCAATTGTTATAATTATTTTACAAATTATCACATTTCGAGATTAATGTTAAAGTTAGTTACTAAACAGGAGGGTTCAGGACAAACTAGCGTGTCGGAACACGCGTGTCGGAGCAGGCGTGTCGGAACGAGGCGTGTCGAAATCCTTGCGAACGACTTTGTTCCCACATCTCGTCTATATAGACGAGATATGGTTCACTACAAGCCATTGCACCGCTCGCCGTTGTGAATTGTGGTGGGAAATCTCACTGTTTTTGATTAAACATTGACAACAATGAACATTTTCCGATTATAAAAGGACGAAGACTACCTTAATAATTTTATAAAGGTTGGAAGGCAAGTATTCTACCATTTCGAGGTTTTTCAGTGAGTTGACTGGAGTTGCATAAAAGTCCCTTTTTTGCCTAATAACTTTAAAAATAAAGGAAGAGAAATGAAACTGACCCTTTTTGGTGTGTTAAAACCTGATAATATTATCAGCCTTATTTCTTGCAAGGTCTCACTGGTCGTGTTCGTCTCTTCAGTTTGAAATAGAAAAAATCTCATCCCAGAGTATTTTGAACTTATATATTAAGTCTTTTATACATTAGTAATCTTGACCTACAAATTTAGAATAGTTAATCTTATTTACAAAATAAATCTAAACAATTTTTTCTCTAAATTGTAGTTATACTATTTGGGAAGAAGAAAACTTACAAAATGTAGGCGACAAGTACGCCGAGGACAATATTTTTGCCGGACCGCCGAAGCGCGAGTAATTCAATATAAAATATTCATATTGGGGACAGAGCTTCCCTTGTGTTTTGTTGACTACAGAGTGTCCTATTCAGAAGACAACTTTTCAATAAAATTTACAATTAATAAAAAAAAAGTTAAAGTATTATAATATTTTTTAAAGATTTTATGTATTAGAGATTTACCTATATTTTCTTAAAGTTGGAACAATAAAATTCTTAATTTAAACCCTGTTGTATGATGTACTTTAGACATCAACACATTAAACAATAATTAGGGAGGTCACTAAATACACGTTTAAGATTATTTAACCTGCCTACAACTTAGCGCCAATGATAAGTAGGATTTATGACGTTAAATAAATCGAGGAACCTAAAATTTTTTATAACAAGAATATTAAATCACGCTGTATACAGATGGCAGTATGTTTGCAGACGCAAACTCCTTATGACGGATGTGACCCGTAATACTGAGCGAGAAACATTTAAACCTTATTCGCTCCCTGTTTATAGTGGTGTGAAGATATACCGCTCAAGATAACAATATAAAATTTAAGTATAGAAGCAATGCTTAAAATTGCTTTAATGAACGTCGGTGGCTCAGGGGTCAAGTACTTGATTTGTAATTTGCATGTTGTGGGTTCGAATCCGTTCCGTTCGAATACGTTAATCCTACGTTCTTGCGGTGAAGGAAAATATTGTGACTCAACCGGCACTTATCTGCGAAGAAATTCAAAGTCATATGTCAAGTCAACGAACTCGCATTGGTCCAGCGTGGTTAACCAAGGCCTCGACACCTCTAACTTAGGGTAGGTTGTGATGTGAAATCTCGTATTATTTTGATGCCGCATGAAGGTCTCCCTATCTGTAGAATATGATCGGAACCTATCATAGCTGTCGTATACAATCAATGAAAACTTCAATATTTTCCGCTCAAATAGCTGCACAGAACAACCGTAAACAATAAATATGTATTTCTAAACGCATTAACAAGATTACAATATTAGCGAACGCGTCCTCCTTCCGACGCTGCGTCATTACGAATGATAAATAGCCGGCACACTTCGATAATCAAATTCAAATTTGGAATCTGTTCTACCCTCGCATCTATTTTTTTTTCTCCAACACAAGGGTGCTCTGTCATACAGCCAGCCTGTTTTGTATTGTGAGAAGATTGTGACTTTATTAAGCGTGAACGAAAGGTCTCTTTAGAGGATTCGTCGCGGTAGACACGTGACCCGGAACCGATTACGGTTCCGTAGCGATTTGTATGTATTTGTATGTAAATGGGGGAACTGGGGTGAGGAGATAACCAGGCGTGCTTGTTGATAGGGATCGCTGTGATTGAATTAAGTGTGCCGACGTTTAGCGCGTGTTTAGCACAGCGCGGCGCGGTACAGCAGCATCCATGATCTACTCGCTATTGAAATGTTTGTAAACTTATAACACTTCTACTTCTACTTCTAAATATGCAATCATGTTTTCAGTTCTGCAGGAACAATTTGTTGGCGCCAATATACATTTATGATAAAAAAAATAGAACCAAAAAGTTTGTTTAATTTGAAATAATTTGTTTGATTATGTTTATGAATAAAATGCGGAGAAACAAGAGAGGAAAAGGTATAAATCAGCGAACGCGTCCCGGCCACTGGTGCCGACCGCCGAGTGCCGAGTACGACATAAGGCCGAGACAAAGGAACGGACAAGCATACGGAAAGCATTGGTCACAGTCGGCGCACTGCCGCAATATCATTGCCGCTCGAGACGTTGTTATGTCGCTAACGAATTAGTCTGCTTTGAAATTAGAATAACATTTTTTTACTAAGCATGCGTTGGTTACTTATCTTTGATAGTGTGAGTAGTAGAAAGTCGCATGACGAGAATAAAGATTAACGAGGCATACTTTTCTCGCGAAAGCAAATTACAGTGCTGGTATAGAAACGTCCTAAGCAATCTTAGTATGCCTTTAAAAGTATCAAAACATTTTTTAAATTATTTTCGTGTTGCGCCTATTAAAGTTACTATATTCTTTATGGAAAAAACTAGGGTTACTAAGTTGAAATACATATTGCAAACTAAATAATTCGTAACGTAAACCGCATAACCGCAATTCCGTATATCTCTTCAAATACAAATTGTGATACAGTTTTGCGCTCCGTAATGTTAGCAAGTGAGACCAAATAATAATTTATTCAGTGAATATTGTAATGGAGACCGTTATTATTTTCGACTTAAGGGTTTGTTCGTATTGTAACCAAAGCACTATTATTTCAAGAAATACACAATATGAACAGTTTACAATGAAGCCGAATATGGGTTTTTTTATTTTTCTGTAATACTAACAAAACATTAAGCTACAAATTGAACTTTACAAAAGATAATTTATTTTAAAATAATTGTGGTTCAAACAAAAACTACCTTAATATAATACGATTTATGTCCGTTTGTTAAAATGTATCTCCGGAACAGCTCAACGGATTTCGATGAAATTTGGCATAGATGCAAAACATAGATCTGGAAAAATACATAGCCTACTAATAAAGTTTTTTTTTTATCTACGCACTGACTATTTCTATAATATTATAATATTCTATAATTTTAAATACACTTAATTGATAAATTTTACCTTACACAATCTTTTATAATATTGACGGTTTACTTTTGTCACTCATATTTGTAAAAGCCCAAGTGGAACACACCTATTGCTATACGCGGCGGCATATATCCATATTAATTTAAACCATATTTCACTGAATTTAATTCATATGCTAAATAGACTCGAAGCTCTTAACTGTCTCAGGCTTGAATTCTAAGAAGCTTTCATTGTTTACGTAAGAAGCGTTTTTCATAATTTAAAAAATGAATATGTATTTCATTCAATTACTAGTTGTCACCCGCAACTCCGTCCGCGTGGGTATATAATAAAACTTAATTTATAGATAAGTTAAATAAAAAGCAGCTCTTCAAGGCATAAATTCGAAAAAAAAATTAAAAAAATGAATAAATAGTATCCTATGTCCGTCTCTCCCGGCTCTAAGCTACCTCCTCACCAATTTTCAGCCATATTGGTAAAGACGTTCTTGAGTTATAAATAGTGTAACTAACACGATTTTCTTTTATATATATGTAATATAGATTATTCAATCTTATACATATCTGAAGATATTAGTGAAATTGTCAATTGTTCTGGTGTATATAACATTTATGTACATATGTGTAAATAATTAAAGTGACAACGTGTTAGTTAGTAAACTTTAAAATCACATTTCAGGCGTAATTATTTTTACAAAATCATGCATGTACGCTACAGTT